TATACATAGTGACCCTGTCTCAAAAAAAACAAAACAAAACAAAAAAAATGGCAGGAATCTGCAGAGCACCCTGGACCTGACATAGGGAACTCCTGATGTATGATATCCAGCTCTATGTGATGATGAAAGAGGGAAATTATATAGGAAGATTTTGAAATATTTCAGAAGAGAAAAATCAAGAAACAGAAGTTAATACTTTCTCTTCCTGCACACATCTCAACCTCTTACACTGTTGCTTGCTTACTCTCTAAGCCATCTATTCTATTCAGAAACCACCTTTCAGAATGCAGGTAGAATGGATACAAGCAATGCGCAAAGGGCTAGGGGTATGGCTCAGGGTCTAACATGCAAAAGGCCCTGGGTTCAATCATCAGCACTGGAGAAAAAGAAACACAGAAATAATTATGTCAGACTGTGTTCTTGACTAAGTGTTCAACTAAGTAGCACCAGGTTAGAATGTCCACGTGAGGCAGACATAAGACAGGATAATAATAAACACTTCACCACTACTCCAACCAAGGGCATTGTAATAACCATGGTAACTCCCCTGAAGGCTCCCTAAGAGCACCTGTCTAGTATTTATATCCTCAAGAGATTGGGACAGGCCTGTATGCAAAAGGCATACATAAATTCCTTCTGAATTGTACGATCTGAATTATCCAGGTACAAACTCCATACACCTGACGAGAAGCATTATAAGTGGAGAAAATTAGGTCCACAGAGACTAAAAGTTGAAGCTAGTTAAAGAATGTCTTTTTTGGGCTGGGGATTTATCTCAGTGGTTCCACCACCCGCCTCTCAAGCTCAAGGACCCGAGTATGATCCCCGGTACCAAAAAAAACAAAACAAAACAAAACAAAATAAAGAATGTCTTTTTTGATGCCACCTACCCGCAGCAAGGGCTTCATCCTGTCACCTAAATCCTACTTGCCATTATTCCCTATAGCCACCTCTGCTCCACTGAGACTGTGATTAGATGTGTCCATGCCCACTCCACACTGCCCGCCTCTGTTAGTTGTCCAGAGGCCCAGAGGATCCTTTTATCAGCCTGCAGAGTTCCTAACCATCCTTCATGAACAGCCCACAGACTGAAAGGAGCCGGTCCTCATCATGCCAGGCTCTTCTGAATTCTTTTGAACACCTCAGCACTTATATTCTGTGCTACTCATCATTTCTTGCACTTCTATGTTCTCTCCTGAAACCACTGGAGACAGTGACATACACGGATGACATCCCAGCTCTTTCTTACCAGCTGAGCTTTTTCCTCTAAGCCTCAGTTTCTTTATCTGTAGAGTGGGAAGTACAATAAAACCTACAGAACAGCTATAAGAAACAAATGGTGGCTGCAGAATTGCTTTGTGCAAGCTATAGCTGCTGTTTTTATTTTTTAGTTTTTATTGTTTATTTACTTATTGTTTGGAGACAAGGTTTTGTTATGTAGTTCAGGTTGGCCCTGAACTCACTATGGACTCCAGGCTGGCCTTGAACTTGTGGCAATCCTCCTGCCTCAGCCTCCAAGTGCCACCAGGCCCAGCAAGCTGTTGTTTTTGTTGTTGTTGTTGTTGTGTTTTGTTTTTCCTCATTGAGTTTATTGGTAATTTTAGGTATACAGTACAGTTACATTCATTATTGGGATCTTGTACCTTTACATGACAGGTCTTGGTTCTCATTTTTTTCCCTTGTCCCTGCCCTCCCTTAACCCCCTCCTCCCCTCCCCATTTACAAACACTTTATTTCCATTTAAGCTGTTGTTTTTAATCATTAACTTTTTTTTGAACAGGGTCTCACTGTGTATTCCAGGATGGCCTCGAAGAATTCACTACGTAGACTAGTTTGGCCTTGAAGTTGCAGTGATCCACCTCAGCCTCCCAAATGCTACGATTACAGGCATGTGCCACCATGCCCAGCTCTAATCATTAGCTTTGCTGTTATTTTATTTCTGTATTTCCCTCTATCCTACCCATTCCCTAGCATATACCTTTTTTGTTTGTTTGTTTTTGTTGTTGTCGTTGAGACAGGGTCTTACTATTGCAGTTCAAGCTAGCCTTGAACTCAGAGCAATCCTCCTGCCTATCTCCCAAGTGCTAGGATTACACGTGTACCACCACACCTACCTTCCCTTGCATATACTTTTAAAAAATACTAACAATATTAAATGTCATGAAAATCACTTTTACATTTGGTCACAACAGTATAGAATATACCTTAGAAACTCATTCTGTCCGCTAATCATTTAGCTGAATCAAACTGATATGACTAGAGCCTTGCCTACAATCTACATGGCAATAGGAATCCTTCATCATCTTCACGTCAAGTGTCTTTTATAAGTGATGATGAACAGTGGAAGGATATTTTCCTTCAGAGGTCACTTATTCACCAGTTATACCATACCCTGACAGAAAATCTAACCCTAACAGGATTATTCTGCTGTTAAGAGACAACTACAATTTATTGAGCCTCTACTATGATCTAGATATGATGTTAAATGGCTAAATGCTTTAGACACTGTCTCATTTAAACCATACTACTCCATGAATATGAAAATCATCTCTTCCTCCCTCCCTCCCTTCAGATACACAAACTAAGGCTTAAAATCGTTATACAATTTCTGGGATCCAGGCTCACACAGCCAAAAAACAGGTAGAGTCAAAATTCAACCCTGGTCTATCAAAAGTATCATGCTCTTTCCACTTGTTATATATCCCCATATCCCTTATATTTTGAAATTTCCCTTGGTCTAGGAATGCAGCTCAGTGATAAAGAGTGCTTACCTAGAACACATAAGGGTCCAGGTTCAATCTCTAACATTGTAAAAATAAAAAATCTTTCTTAATCTCTACCCTTCATCTACATTCTGCTCTTCATATTCACTTTGGGATTTTAAAGGTGAAAAGCTTTCAATAATAAGAAGGCAGAAATGAAAAAAAAATCCCCCCAATTTTATTGGGCTCCCTCCATTAACTGGCTGGAATTCAACAGCCAACTACGAAATGAGTATTGGTAATAAGGTCGCACTGAAAACACCTGAGGAAAGTAAAAAAAAAAAAAAAAAAAAGACAGTCTC